GAGAAGCATCGTGTCTGAGCGTCATCATTGACTTATCCCCTTTTCAGCCCCTTTTCAGGGTGTAACATTTGCATAAGTTTCCTGTATGTTTACTGATATAGTTATTCAGGGTAATCCTGTATTTTTCCGTGATGAAAATCAGTCTCAATTCCATATTAACTTTTAAATCAGCATGAATAATGTATTTGTTTTTGCTTTGGAACAGTTTAGCTGGGTGGATACTGATAGACTTAGAAAAGTAAAACAGTGAGTAAGTACTATTAGTTCTGGCTATAAAAAAAAAGATAAGAAAAATAAAATAACAAATTGCTTAACCATTTCACTCAAAGAATTATTTAAAAAACATCTTTATAGATAAAAAAAAAAAAAAAGAAAAGGAAGACATTAAAGATTTTATTTTCAAATATTTTGCTAAATTATTTTTCATTAAACTATATTTTTAAGTTAATAAGAATAATAAAATACACACATAATGTGCTTTTTACACATAATTACACAGTTAATAGTGGTATACAGTTGAAAGATGTTTACATTTTATTCTTGTTAATTTGACTGTTAGCATGACTTGGGACCGAATTAATATTGTTTTGCTATTTAAATGCAAACCAGGTTTAAAAAAGATAATATATTTTACATTTTATCTACAGCATAAGTTTTATCACAAAGAACATTGCTGTTAATATAATATTGGCAAACAGGAAAAGCCAACACATTTAGAGACTTTTTATGTGTTTTTCCCTTGTTTGTTTTGTAACTGATTTGACTTCTGTAAACTGTCACAAATGTCCTCATATTTCTATATTTATAATGCTTTGTTTGCATAGTTAAACACTTCTTAAAAAGTTGTAAAATATAATCTTTCATCATTTTACTTTTATGCGTTGTACTTTTATTCTTCAATTTTTTTTATTTTTAATCATAGTCATTTCCATTTTTTAGGTAATATAAATATATATTATACAATATTTTGGCAGTTGGTCTTTGGCTATAATAATACCAATATCACTGTTTCACCTGCTACAACAAAAGACTTAAGACCTAAATGTACATGAATACATGGCTGAATAAATATAAATAAATAATGTTCATGTTTTATGTTATTTATTCTGAGCTAGAAATTAGTTTCATTCCTGTTTTTTATAACTGTTTTTTCTTTTTTGTGAAAGAATAATATGCCCTCTCATATTTGAATGAAATAAAATAATCTTGAGTCTAAGTTTATTCAGTGTTCAGATTTATCTTCCTGAAATTTACCTGTAGTGTTTATCGCTTCCCAGTTCATTACAAACCAACATGCTAGCATGACTTTAGCCTCCCGATGTTGTGGAGAGCTGCTCAGAGCTGTGGATGCCTGTGTGCCATCCCTAACAGGTGGAAACAAGTACAGAAAAAGACAGAAAATTTACAAGATAGAGAAGACATAAAACTGACCTTCAGGGATCCCAGTGCATGATGGGATAGAAGCGATGATGAGCAGTAGTAAGACGAAGAGATGCTTCATGTCTCTGCTAATGGACTCCATGTTTGTTCTAAACTTATCAAAGGATCAAAGGTTGAGAACAAACAAACTACAAACCAGCCCCCCGCTAAACCCCCAACAGTACAGCAGAAGGCTTTCCCTATCAGGCTGATGAATGTGTTTTCCTCACAGTTTAATAACAGGTAAATAACAATGAAGAGGAGGTTTAAACTACTGACTTTACAGATTCTGACTAGGTGATAAACTCATGACTTCTAAATGTACTGCAACTCCAAGTCTGGGGCACACTTTAAACATACCATGATATTTATCACTGATTGTAAAGTTGTGAAATGAAGACATGGCGTTAACCAATGAGCACTCCCTGGTTAATCCTCCTTTCAGACTTTTAGCAAGACCAGAATTCACAAACTGATTTCCTGCAGATTTTATAGGATTGAAATTCCTTTTGGAACCAACTCACCAAAATGGAGTTCAGACTTTTCAGATAATCTGTTAGTATTATTGATTATTGATTAGATCATTTTATTAAAATGGGGTGGCTGTAGCACAGAGGGTAGAGTCGATCATCAGCAGGTTGGTGGTTCGATCTCTGGCTGCTCCAGTCTGCCAATATCCTTGGTCAAGATGCTAAGCCAGAGTTCTCCCTGATGCATTCATTGGAGTATGAATGTTAGAAAGCACTTATGGTGACTCATGATAGATGAAAGTAGTTGTATGTTCAGTGTCAACAATACAAGTTGTATAAAGTGCTTTGAGTGCACTGTAGAGTAGGTACAGCCATTTACAAAAAGGCCGGAGGCTCAGTTCAGAAATGCTGAGATGAAGCTTAGCAGACAGCTAACCACCATTAGCCTGATATCTCAGACTAATACAAACTCTGAGCCTCAATACAATTTAAACAGGTCAGTTATTAGAAAATTCAACCGCATCCACCTGTTAGGAAGGGACGAATGAGCTATAAAGAGATATTTTTGTAACGTGTTTATTTTGCTGTAAAATTGGACATTCAGTGCATGTCTGCCTGGGGGCTGATGCTTGATTTTACCAAATATCTCCAGTGTGAACATCTTACATCGATATTATTTTTACATTTGATTTAAAGCATAAACCCATATCTAAGCCTGATATTAATTAATAAAACTGTTAACTATCAGTTATATTTACTTACTTTTCTTACTGAGGATAACATTTTAAAAAGGTCAATAGAGTTATTATACAAGCCAGTACATATATTACATTCTTTTATTAAATCAAAAATCACACTCATTGAATCATTTCGTTTATTTTTTCCATGTGAGCAAAAACACATATTTTTGATTTGATCATTTAAAGGCTGCAGGTGAAATGATGGCAAGGCAAATAATAAATATGTAACGTAAACAGTTCATTGCTACATTTCAAGTTCAAGTTTGCTCTTTTTTTCCCATAAAAATAAAACACATGTGATAAAGAGTTTATTCTTTAAAAACAAAAAGTTTGAATGTGGAATCATCAAGTTTGTAAACAGGAAGCGGTGGAGTTTTTAAAGTTACAGTGCCGTGCGATTTCTGTTCCTCTTCTTTCCTCCAGGGGGCAATAATCTTCTTAAACAATGTCCTTCAGGATGTCAGGGATAAATTCCTGAGCATCTCTTAGGTCATCCTTCCACTCCTGTGGGATGCATTTTCCTGTGTGGGCGCCTCCGGCCCCCAGCAGGGCCCCGAGCGCCGCTCCACGGTTACAGTTCTCACCTGAAGTCAGAACCAAACAAAACGAAAATAAGAACAAATACAACACTGATGTCATACATGCAGACCATGAAATTAAAAAAATGAAATTATTAAAAGTCAAAATTAGCCCATCGCTCAGCTATCAGCAGGAGGTTTCTACTGAGTTAGTCTGACTGACACCGAGTGTGATGGAAGGATAGACTTTTGTTAACAGCTTGTATGGACACTGCTTTTATATTAATGAAAGAGAAATAATAATAATAATAATATTATTAATAATATTAATAATGATAATAATAATATTAATAATAATATTAATAATAATAATGGTAATAATAATAATAATAATAATAATAATAATAATAATATAAAGACTCACAGAAACCACATACTGCACTAATTACTTTTCAGTTTTTTATTTAGATTTGTATATTTATAGACTTTAATTCGCTAAAAACAAAAGTTTGAATGTGGACTCATCAAGTTTGCAAACAGGAAGCAGTGGAGTTTTTGATCCTCTTTTAAGGTGCAATACATTGCTGTTTCATACCTACATAAAGACTCTGAATAATTGAATTAATATTAATATTCTATTCATTTTTTTTATATAGCACTCGTCACAGGATAAAAACACAAAGTGTGTCACAGTAATATAAAAACAGAAATGCATAAAAACAACCAAACACTTGTTGTGTGGCTTCTGCTTGACTGCATAAGCCACACCTGGGCAAAGATTTAACCAACAGGAGCCTGAGTGCAAACCAGCATGTTTAAATTTTACCTCCACAGTTGGTGTTTGCCAGGATTCCTCCTTTGGGGTCATCGTGAAACTCGTGGGCCAGGTAGAACAGGCTGGACAGAGCACCTGTTTGTGCAACACAAGCAGGTAAGACAAGCATTTAAAAACAATGATCTTAAGTTTTACCAGCCAGTGAGGTAAAAGAAAGGTTATTGGTCGGATTCTGACCTTTGTTGTAGCAGGCCATACCAAGGTAGTTCACAGCGCTCTGATGGACCTTCAGTCTCTCCTCAGAGGACACAGAAAACCTAAAAAACATTACGGATAACCTTTTACACACAGACGCTGCTTCCAAACCAAGCATTTAGTCTAAAGGAAGTCTGCAGAAAGTGTTGGACAGCTAATAAAAAAGGGCTTTTTACTGTAGACTTTTGTTATGAATGAACAGGAAGTGTGATTATGAGTGTCATAAAGAATACACTTGTTGTAGGCTTTTAATGTGAACGCCTGGACAGGAAGCATTACTTAATTCTCAACATTTTAGCAAATCCTGAAATACAGAAAAATGTTCAAGTACTCCTTTAAAGCTGTTCAAATCCCTGTTTATTCTGAAAGACTTTTACTTCTAAATGCATACAGGAAGCGGTCTCTGGCAGCCAACCTAAAATTCTAATAAATATTTTAATAAGAAATTGTCAAAAACCAAATGCTGCTCAGATGCTGCAAAGTAAAAGTTTTCCAGGGGCCAAAAGAATGTACCAAGTGGTTAGACTCAACTCTTATTCTGAAACATCTAAAGGAAGTGTTAGATATGTTTACAAAATCTCACTTGGCCGCCTTGCGACTGAAGCTCTGGCAGGCGTCCCAGGCATCCAGTCTCCTCAGAGCTTGCTCAGCCTGCTCACGGACACTGGCCCCGCCCAGTACCGCGTGCAGTGCCCGGCTGTAGATCGTCACGTACTCGGGCACGTTGGGGTGAGGATGGGTGAGCTTTACGAACTCCACCGCTGCTGAAACCTGAGGACAGAGTAGGTTAAAGGTCACATGTTGCTATGTGAGACTGTTTCTTATGTTGTTGATTTGTGTTCGCTTACGGCTCGCTCCTCATTGGCTGAGGCAGACAGAAGGATGAAAGGAAGGATCATGGGAAGGCAGCCAATGGCATCTAGCTGGCAGTCAGGGAACGGAGAGCTCGTTTTCATCCCGGAGCGTTCCTCTGCAAACTTCAGAACCTGGAAAACAGCAAGTAAATTGGTGAAACACTCCAGATGTGGCATGTTACAGCATAGGGGTCAACTGCTTCTGTCCTACTTCATGTGGCGAGGTCGGTTTGCTCTCCTGCCAGTCAGCAAAGAATGAGCGGTGGAAGGATTCAGCGTAGGTGTCCTTGTGTGAACCGGGTGTGGTCAGGAAGTGGACGTAGTCTGACAGAACAGCAGCTCGAGCATCCGGCTGAGAGACGTCCACAAAACCTCTGGAGACAAGTGTCCGAGCCACTCGAAGGGAGCAGAGGATGTTCAGCGTGTTGTCACCTGCCTGAAGACCTTGAAGACCACAGAGAAAGAACATGGACACAACAAAAATAGAAACAAACAACAAAACGAAGGAAAAACAGTGAACTGTAGTATAGGGCGGCAGTACCTCGGTGATAGTGGATCGATCCACTTGAGGAGTTCCACAACTCCAGCTTATCATGGAGAATGACGCTGCCGACCACATTGGCTCGCTTCGCACCAGAAGACCAGTTGGTGCGACCACTGCCGGCTGCAAAATGACAGAGAGGTTAAAAACAGCAGGATTAATCAGGATGGAGCTCCTCAAGGCTGTGTCCTTGGTCCTCTTCTGTTTGTCTGTCTCGACACCGGTTCATCCGATCTTCTTCATATTTGGGAGGTGTATTTCTAGGGATTTGAGTTGAGTGCCAAAGCTGAGTTCATTTGGATGAGCAGTTCTCATCTTCAGGTTCAGAGTTCTTTTAAAAGTATTTTTCCCACACTGAGTGATGCTTTGCCAGCATCAGTAGGAGGGAGGTTTCTGCTTTTTTAGTTTAAACTAGAGATGGACCGATCCGATATTATGTATCGGTCCGATACTGACCTAAATTACTGGATCGGATATCGGAGAGAAATAAAAAATGTAATCCGATCCATTAATTATCACAAAAGCACTTCACAAAATGTGCGAAATGGCGTAACTCAGCTCATAATTTTAGCACGTCGGAGCAGTGTGCGTCACGTGATAGAGTGGCTGTGGCATGTGAGACCTGTCGGTGGTCTGGCTGAGCATTTGGAGCCTCGTTACCAAATCGGTATTTTATCTCTGAGAAAGTTATCCCAGAGGAGTAAAGCAAGTGTGTAAGTTCATCTCTGAATGTTTATAAAGCATTCGCCACGATAAGCTTAACAACCGATATATGGAGCGACTGCCTCTTCTTCTCTCCCTCCCTCTCCTGTTGCTACTTCAATCATGAAACTGATCAATGATCAGCTGATCGGTTTTTCTGTCGCAAGTCCCGTTTCTCCAGTTTGTTTGTTCGCCCACTTTGCACCAGAAAGAGGAAACCAGTGGATAAACAACAGCAGCACGTTTAAGCTTGATAAGCTGTTGTTAGAATTTACTTTCTACACCAGCATCCTTTTTTATGTAGCTGACAGCTGGTAACTGTGCAGGGGCGGGTCTAGCAAAGTTTTGCCAGGGGGCCAAGTAGGGCATTAACAGGGAAAGGGGGGCACAAAGAAATACTTTTCTTTCTTATTCTCATGTCTAGCTTTTAATAAATAATTATCTGAATCTTACAATTAAAGTTTTCATCCGACGTAAAATGTATAGAAATCCACTATTGTATATAGTAACTATTAACTCTAATTTACCCCTGCTAAGCTATAGTACCTTTTCCTTTGGGAAGATACCATCTGTGCAGTCTGCACATCTTTCTGTTGAAGAAAGTTGTTGAATCTATTTAAATATTGTAGAAAAATAATTTATTTCTATGCATTTATTTTACACGTGCATTGAATTAAAGCAGATTACGCTGATTAAGCATCATTAGGCAGAGGGTGGGGGGTGGTTTCCTATTATTTTTGCTAGGAGTTTGGAACCCTATTAGTTAGGTTGTTTAATATTTCTGCTACGTACTGTTTAGAATACGAGAATAGGGAGGATGGTGTAGGTTTAAGTAAATTAGATTGATCAGTATTGCTGAACTATGAAATGTTTTGGCTGTAGTGCATATAACAGAATAGCTTTAGTGTTTTGTTTTTTAAAACAAACGCAGCAGGATATTTAAAAAAAAAACCAGTTTTGTTGATTTTGTTGATAAAATGAACTACATCGGATTCATATCGGCAGATAAGAAACACATGGACCAGTTGCTGGGTAAAAAATTTACCAAAAATATTTTTACATTTCTTTTACTATACTACATATTTTTAGATTAACTTAAGTGTAATAAAGATTATGTTATATAATATAAACATGCTAATTGGAAAATAGCATAATAAAAAAATCTGCCTTAAATTCATTTTCACTGGCAACCCATTTTTATTTATAAATGTAACATCTTTTTAGGATATTCTTTTATTTAACTTCTACATTTAAACCAACACTCAGACTGTAAACTCAGCAATTTTTTTCATAGACGTTTAGAGTTAGACTTCTTGCAGGAGTCTCCCCCTGCTGGTCATTACAAACAATGCAGGTCAAAAGCACCTCTCCAATGACTTCTTACCTGTGTTGGAGAGGGTGAGGATACTGGACGGGTGACGCTCAGGAGGCGAGTTGAAGCCTGATATCCAGCCACCGAAGTCCCTCCTGATGTCGTTGATGTCATAGTACCAGTGGACCGGCATAGACATGGAGTCTGCTGCACACATCGCCCAGAATGCTTCGCTCACTGACCGCCGCATCGCAGACATCTTGGCTGAGGGGAGATGACCTGTGACCTTAATGTGAGGAGAGTTTACAGTCAGTGTACAGATATCTTATGGACAACAGAAAACAACAGTAAACGAAACAACATGAACTCAACATGTACAACAAAAACAAGCCAAAAGAAATTCAGTAATACTAATAATAACAAGCAAAATTCCCAAATGTTAAACAAAATCTAATAATTAAACAGTAAACTAATAAATAGATTATTTACTTCTGTTAAAAAAAACAGCTGCTGTGGTTAGTTGATCAATCCTTCATTCAAATTTACATTTAAAGATTTCTTAAATAAACGATTAATAAATAATTTTCTGGACATTTACAAAGACTCGAACATTTCAGGATAAAAACTGTTTAAAAAAATGTTTTCTTTCCCATTAATCTCCCTCCAGTGATTGCTCAGTGTGAGCTGACATCAATGCGTTACACTCAGCTTCCAGATGAAGCTTTATACACCTGTCCTTACCTGTCGAGTCATCACCCTCAGACACGGATTATTTTTAATCAGGCTGAACGCATTAAACATGATGTTGTGTTAAAGTGGATCAGTAAAGATTGAAGCTGCTCACCTCTGCGCTCTTTGCTCCAATTGATTCTCACGCTGAACTTGCATAAGTTGTTATCACATCGTTACAAAACTGAACAGGAAGTGTCGGACAGCAGCGGCAGATATAAAATAAATTAAAAAATCAAATATTTCTTTTAAAACAGCTCCAATTAGCCTGCGTTTATCCTGACACCTCAAATAAAACTGACGGGTTTTATAAAAATTTCCTTTTGGACGATTTGGGATTTGTTTATATTGACATTTTATAACTGCTTGCTCAGTACGGAGGCCGGTGGAGGTCAATACATAAAAACCGCTCTACGTATCTGCTGCCCTGAATTAGGACTTGCAGGCAGTCAGAAAACAGGCAAAAGCCCGGTAAATACATGTGTAGTCTGATCACTAACCCCGTAAAAACCTAAAATTTGATTTATTGAACTATTACATCATGACTTTAACAGAAGAACCAACACAGAAGTTTAAAAACGCCTAGGACAAACCATTTACAAATACCTCCTGGCACTTATCTGGGCTGTTAATGACAGGCATTGTCTAAAATAACTTATCAGTCGAATCTGATGGAAATAGCTCAAGGGTTTGTTGATTTTTTTAAATCCAAAATAACGCTTTAAAGTATTTTCCCATCTGCAAATCTGCTGTTCCTGAATTGTAACAGGTTATATTCAGGGCTGTCTGTCTCTGATAACAGCATGAGTGTTTATATATGTTTAATATTTAATTTCTATGTCATTCTACATTTGGAGAACAATTTGGGCTTGATTTTTTTAAATAAATAAACAGCTTGTTTGATTTTTTTTAATGTATGCAATAAAAACAAATAATACACCATCAAACAATTAGATCGGTTCTCCTCGAGAATGAAAGGTACTTTATAAGATATGTTATTACTGGGGCCACCCTGTTACCAATATTCCTAAAGCTGGAAAAGCAGGTTTTAAACATATTGTTTGAACTGCTAAATGAGGGTGACCATCTTTAACTTAATGTTCAAGGATGTAATAAACTGTTACAAAGGCAACAGATAAAGCCTTGTGCACAGTCAGCAAAGACTAGAAAAATACAAAATATACACTCAACAAAAATATAAACGCAACACCTTTGTTACTGCTCCCATTCCCCATGGGATGGACGTAGAGACCTAAAATTCATTCCAGATACACAATATAACCATCCCTCCCAAACAGTGGTCACAAATCAGTCCAAATGTGTGGTAGTGGGCACATCTGCTATATTGAGATAATCCATCCCACCTCACAGGTGTGCCACATCAGGATGCTGATCTGACATCATGAGTAGTGCACAGGTGTACCTCAGACTGCCCACAACAAAAGGCCACCCTGGAATGTGCAGTTTTTTGCGCTATTGGGGGTCTGGGGACCCAGAACCGGTCAGTATCTGGTGTGACCACCATTTGCCTCATGCAGTGCAACACATCGTCGCATGGAGTCTATCAGATTGTCAATTGTGGCCTGTGGAATGTTGGTCCACTCCACTTCAGTGGCGGTGCGAGGTTGTTGGATATGCGTGGGAACTGGTGCACGCTGTCGTATACGCCGGTCAAGCACATCCCAAACATGCTCAATGGGTGACATGTCCGGTGAGTATGCTGGCCATGCAAGAACTGGGACATTCTCAGCTGCCATCTGCCCTGAACAATGTGAACCATGATTCATCCGTGAAGCGCACACCTCTCCAACGTGCCAGACGCCATCGAATGTGAGCATTTGCACACACAAGTCTGTTATGGCGACGAGCTGGAGTCAGGTCAAGACCCCGATGAGGACGACGGGCATGCAGTTGAGCGTCCCTGAGACGGTTTCTGACAGTTTGTGCAGAAATTGTTTGGTTGTGCAAACCAATTGTTCCAGCAGCTGTCTGGGTGGCTGGTCTCAGACGATCTTGGAGGTGAACCTGCTGAATGTGGAGGTCCTGGGCTGGTGTGGTTACATGAGGTCTGCGGTTGTGAGGCCGGTTGGATGTGCTGCCATATTCTCTGAAACGCCTGTGGAGACGGCTTATGGTTGAGAAATGAACATTCAATGCACGGGCGACAGATCTAGTTGACATTCCCGCTGTCAGCATGCCAATTGCACGCTCCCTCATTGCTTGTGGCATCTGTGGCATTTTGCTGTGAGACAAAACTGCACATTCCAGGGTGGCCTTTTGTTGTGGGCAGTCTGAGGTACACCTGTGCACTACTCATGATGTCAGATCAGCATCCTGATGTGGCACACCTGTGAGGTGGGATGGATTATCTCAATATAGCAGATGTGCCCACTACCACACATTTGGACTGATTTGTGACCACTGTTTGGGAGGGATGGTTATATTGTGTATCTGGAATGAATTTTAGGTCTCTACATCCATCCCATGGGGAATGGGAGCAGTAACAAAGGTGTTGCGTTTATATTTTTGTTGAGTGTATGAAAGAGGACTGACCTCTGGTCCACCCATGGTGCTTTCACGTGACTCAATTGTGTCACTTCCCCTTTGTTTTGTATGTTTTGTGTGTGTGTGTGTTTCCCAGAATCAATGGGTTGGGGTTGCATGGGACTCTGAAATAAAAGAAACGTGTGAACAAAATCAGTTCAAGCAAGTGGATTTGCAACTTTTCTTTACCTGCTACATCTGGCACTTGCAGTTTGGTTGCCAGGAAGCTGGAACAAGCGAAAAATTTCATTTTTGTGGGCTTTTCAGGAGCTGTTTTATTTAAATAATACAACAGCTCAGTTTACATTTTGTCCCAGTGCAGGTGTGATCTACACAGCAGATGTACAGCATGTTTTAGTATTTTGTGCATGGATTATTGTCAGGTTCATGGGTGGGATCTATGTGTAGATTGTAATTGCAGAATGGAGCTTCTGTTGCTGCTTTGCAGGTATATGAGAGTCTTTTGCAGCAGTGCAAATGTAACTAGTTTTACCACTCTGAGTATTTAGTGACTGAAATCATGTACTTTTGTAAGTATACAAGGACCACTGCTAACATGCTAATAATGGCTGTTATAGTCACATATTCATGTGCTCTGTGTGTTTATATGTGAGTGACCTTCTGCCTGCTGTTACTTAAACTTTAATAACGTCTACATAAGGGCTTTCGAAATTCCTGCCAGACATAAAACAGGGAGCTGAAACCCTGAAGTCTTAGTACGGTGGCCGATAGGGGGCACGTAAGCTCAAAAACTTTAAACGGTTAAGACAGGAGTGTTTATACTGCGTGATGCCAGGGTTGTGTGGTCTTGTTGAACTATAAATACCTCTTGCAATGCTTTAAGAAGTGTTAACAGAAGGTTCAATGTATTGTCTGCTGTTAGTCACAGTCGTTAGCAAAAAGCAACGACCGGACTAGCCGCTTACATGAATGAATAAACCTACTGGGTTCACATGGAGCTGGCTGGTGTTCGGGTTTAATTTGAACTGCTGCTTTTGACTTATTTGGTAGTCAAACTGCAGGTCCGTCTGCACCCGCGGTCACCTGTTACCTAGAAGTTAGCGGTGAGCTCGCGAGCTTATTTATTGTTAGCTTAGTGCTAGCAGGCTAATGTGCAATGGAAACGGGGGAGCCGCTAGATCCGGAATATGTCGGTAAGAACTGAAGTACAAACGGAACCGAAGCGGATAACGGGGTTCAGAGGTGCAGAGCACTGCACAGACAGCTAACCCAGGTTTAACCGGGCTAATGCTACATTAGCCTCAGAGCTTTCCTGTTAGACACACAAGGAAATGCGAGAGTGTGGTTTAGGTACAATACAACGGCTGAAAGCTAGTTTCAAATCAGCAAGTCTGTTTACACTGTCCTAGTCCACATCCAACAAACCCGGGTTATCTGGATTTAATCTAGACACCTTTGTATGTGGGTTACATGGGGGGGGGGGGGAAGGTTAAACTATAACTTTCCCCCCTTTGTTAGTAGGTTTATACAGTCTGTGGGGTCTAGGCCAGATTTAAGGGGTCCAGGTTATGGGGTTTGTTTTCTTGTCTTTTCTTTTTTGTAATGGATAACTGCTCTGATGAGGTTTAGATGGACACATGAGTGAAATATCACATTTTCCCTGTTTTTATGTGCTGAGAGTTAGGTTAAATGTGCATACAGAGACATTTATTGGTTATTTTATCAGTTAATCTGGTCCAGGTTCAGTAGTTGGGGGTCCAGATTGTTTATTTACGCATTTTTTATGCTTCTGATACGATCATTTGTCCCGATTTATTTTTTCCAGAGAAGGCCAAGGCATTCTGGAACAATGAGGATGTGGATCAGGTCTTCGATGTGGTTTTCAAGTACCTGGAGCACCTGAAGGCAGTTCTGAAGAGGAGTGGAACCACAGATAAAGGTTCTGATCCATGTCTGATGCGAGCGAGCGGGACTCTGGCAATCTTCCTATCCTGATCTTTACTCTCTGTCTTCTCTCAGAGTATGTCCAGGCCTTCAAGCTGCTAGAGCATCTGGACTGCTCCTCCTCCTTGGCCTCCCTCCAGGACCAGGACAGCTCGGTGGTTCAGGTGGTCATTGGCTCAGGTAAACCCCGGTAAATCTCAAGGCTTCGCTGTTGTGTTTGAGTCCGACTATTGCTGAGTGTTTATTCCTCCCCAGAAGAGCTGCTGCCAGCTGACATCCTCCAACACAGCCCTTCATCCTCTTGCTCCTCCTCTTCATCCTTCTTGCCTCCTTTTAATGGGTTATCCAGTCCAACAGCGTCTCCTGCTGGCAGAGAGGAGCTGCTGCCTCCTCTCGTGCCTGTCCAGCTGCAGTACCACCTCCACACCTGCTCCAAGGTAAACACACATTGATGTCATTCAGAATCAGCCCGAGAATTTATTTTGCCTAATTTGATCTCAAAAAGTTTCTTTCATTTATATGGTGCTTTTATTCTGAATCTTGATAATCTAACTGCCTGAAAACACGTTGATCCCTTTTAGTTTTTACCCAGAATCTTGAATATGTTGAAAACCTGATCCTTGTAATTATCTGAAATCTATCAAATAGTTTTTTTAATTTAGAAATCTGATATACTTCAGAACTTCAGAGCATCCTTATACGTTCCTGTAAGTAACTTGGGGCTTTTATCCTGAGAAGAAGCATTAACCTCCTAAGACCCAAACTCTTAATTTCTTTTAATTAATAAACTTTTAATTTCTCTTTGATATCTGGGCATATTGGGACCTAATGAATGTAAAAACAAAGAATTACCAGATTTTTTTTTTTACCTGGTTTTTGTTTCTAAGAAAAATGAGAGCCACATATGAGGATATTTGCTTAAAAT